CCCCCCCTCCCCCCCCCGTCGACGCTCGGGCGCCCGGCCTGAAAGCGTGGAGTTGGTCGCTCGGCGCGGATCGCCGAGTCACGTTGAATCGCGATCTCGCGACGGCGGACGCTCGTTGGAGTCGATCTCGGCCGAGTCGTTCGGGCGGGAACTACGAGAGAGAGAGAGAGAGCGTGGAGAGCCCCGCATCTTTTGGGGATTCCCTCTGGGTAGTTTTACGATTTCAACCTCCTCGCGCCGGTTGTATCGATCTGTTAAGGGACGCTGATTAGACCCGGATGTTATATCGAGAAGCAGGGCGATACCCCCGGCGAATATTCTCCCTGTGGAGAGGAAGAGAGAGAGAGAGTGAGGGAGCGCGAGCGATACCTGCCTCGTATGATTCCCCCAATTTGTAACGCATTGGCGAGCCTATTGTGCCCGGCTCTTCTCCTACGGGGCACCTGAACGTGAAGAAGCTAGGAAGATTTCCAATTAAAATGGGCTTATCAATTACGTGAATGCAGGCTCTTCCGCCCCTGCAGAGCCCCAAGCTGATGAACATATTAATCGTTTCAGCCGCCTCCGCCTCCCCCGGACTCGCCTACGCAATCAGCTCGCCGAACCAGTAACTGCGAGCGATACTGGGCACCGGGGGACCACGCTTAGAATTTTTCGGCGACTCGCGCGTCTCCGTGCAACGGGAACTCACTCCCCGTACCTCGGCCCGCTATCTGTCTCCCTTATCTCCGCCGTTTCGCTTTCCACCATCTGCATAGAGTCGCCAGCCTGCGGGGTTTATCTGACTCCAGGTGCACGTCGCTTCCGCAGGACACCGGGACCGTTGCGGGTTACATTGGGTATAAAGGGGAAAAGAGGCTCGCAGCTCCTCCTCCCGGCGTAACGAGCCCTAAGTGCTGGTTCTCTCATGAACGTATTGCGCACAGGGGTGGTTGAGGCGCACGTGAGATACACGCAGACACGTCCGTGTGGCTAGGAAGAACTTGGAGAGAACAGGAGTCTCTCTTTTTCTCTCTCTTTCTTTCTCTCCCCATCAGCCATGCATAACAGAGGGCCAGGTGCACTCCTGGCATTACGCGCGTATGTAGCAGACGCAGGCCCGGCGCGTATCAGCCTGCCGGTAACATTTGCAGTGCAAATGCCACGCGTAAGGCAGCTTTTCTAAATATAACGCTACATCCAGGGGAAATAATGTAACGGGCGCCTACGGGCTTCTCTCTTCAAGGAACACGCCGGGGGAAACTTGGTTGCACAGCGACGAACGGTCTCGAGTCTAGAGGAGGCTTATGCTCGTGTGATACAAAATCGCCGTATTCGAGAGCCACCTCTCTCTCTCTCTCTCCTTTCAACGCTGCTGCCTCGCGCGGCGACGCGAGTTTGGCTCTCGATTGCAGCAAGAATTACGCCAACTACTTTGATGCAATATCAGTATCTCCCTTTCTCCCTCCGCCAAGTTCTATATTAATTAGCCAGCACGTATATACGTCAATACGGAAAACATCGGATCCGATTACCCAATTTCCCGCTGATCAATACCATCGAGCGCCGCGATTTTCTCTTATCGAGGCGCACGAGGCTCGGGCCTCACCCGCGACACGCTACGCATCATCTCTCCCACGTTGGAGAACGCGATAAAGCGATGCCGCGCGTGCCTCGTGTACTTTATTACACGCGGGGCCTCGCGGTGGGAAGCGCGCGCGGCGGACGCGCCGCACACGGGGAGAGAGAAGCATGGCCACCTTCACCCTCGCGAAGGCGTATTAACGCGGGGGCTGCGCGCCGCTTATTAGCCCCCGCCCCCGGTCGGCTGCGCGCGCGAGGGTCGCGGCGCCGGACTGCGGGATAATGCTCTCTAATTGCTTTCGTGATCCCCGGCTTCATTGATACCGGCCCGCGACCCTCTTAGAAGCGAGGCCTCTCGTCCAGTCACGCGTGGGTAGCGCGCACCACCGCGGGCGCCCCTCGCCTCCCCCGCCCCCTGCCGCGCCCCGGGGCCGATTTCTTCCCCCTCGGATACATTGTGTTTTGGTACCTGCCGCCCCAACAGGTACACACGGGGGCCGCCGGTGTAACACCATGATACACGCGCGTAATAATGGCAGTGACGTGTCTGGTTCGTTTCGCGCGCCCGCCCGGGCCTCCCTTTGATCTGCGGATTATTGAATGCGCCGCACCTGCGAGGAAAGTATGTATGTACGTCCACTGCGAGCGCCGCGCGCCGCGCGCGCGTACGATATAGGTTAGGACGGCGGGCGGGACACCGTACTTTGGCGTTTCTCCGGCAACGCGCGGGCCGCCGGCGCTCGCCACCCCCGAGAGCGTTCCCGCTGACCCAGAAGATCGCCGGGATGTTTTCGTCCCCCTCCCGCCACCCGCCCCCTCCGGGGGGAAGCCTCGTCCCGCGGAATTGTAGCGCGACGGGGGACGCTCGCTCGCTCGCTCTCTCTCTCTTCCTCGCTCCTCGGCGGCGGTTAACGGTTTGTCGGCACGTTTGCGCGATTAGCGCTCCGGTTTGAAAACAATTTGTTAACAGTCCTGTCGACGATCCTGTTGCGCTGCCTCGCCAACGATCCGTTGACAATCCCGTCGCTGGACGGAGGACAGTTTTCGGTTCTACTCCGGGTCTTCGTGGGACGGACTCGAGTGACGAGAGTTCAATATTGGCTCGACACTGGCGACTAACGTGCGAGGACTCGCCCAGTTTTCGCTCTCCGGACAGTCCCGGGACCCTCGCTGCCCTCCGCGGTAGACTTGACGCGCTTCGTAGGATGCAATAATTAATGTCAGAAGTGAGCGGCGGAAGTGAGGCTTTGTTAGAGGATGTTAACGAGATTGCGTCCCCGGCGAGGCTCCACGCGTCTCGTTTCATTTGCCAGGTAACATCCCCGTTCCGACGAGTCGATATTGAAATTGGGGGGCTGCGCGGAGGCACGCACCATTCTTAAAGATCACCCCCGCCGAGGGGAGGGGGGGGAGGAGGAGGAGGCGGCCCGGTGGAAGATGTTATTGATATTTAGTGTGACGGTGTGCGTATCTCTGTTATAGATTCGTCTCTCCAGCAGCGGAGAGGTAGTAGCGGTGGTGGCGACGACTCAGCGGGTGCAGAGAGAGGCGAAGGAGTGATTGCCATGACTACGACGGGAGCCCAGTATGCCCTCGCAGCAGCATCCACCGGGGCTAATAACAGTGGGGGTAGCTCCGCGGCGGTAGGGGTGGACTCTAAGCAGAATGTGGTTGTCGTGACTACTACTTCCAGTACCAGTGGCGGTGGCGGCGCGGCACAGACTCAGTCTGCCAGAGGCCAGCAGCTCATCACGGTCGTCACGAGCCCGGATCCTTCCAGTCCGAACAACCTGCAGCCTATCCAGGTTGGTGGTATTGTCCAGCGTCGCCCCCCCGCGTCGTGCCTCTTGCCGGTTGCCACCCCAGTGATCGTTGTCGTTGTCCCCCGGGGGCTGTGAGTCTCAGAAAAATCACCGTAAAGTAAAATATGATGACCCTCCATCCGCTACTGTGCGCGGTGGATAAGAGTGCAACGTGCAAAGGACGTACGCGCGTGAAATTATTGAATATATACACGTGATTTCTGTTAGATATTATAGCATCTGTTTGCAGCGCATTTTTGTAGCTGCTGTATATCGAATCTGATAACATGCCTGAGCCATCTGCTCCCTGGCGAGGCGATAAGAGTAATACACGCAAATGTTGAAATGAAACCCAAGTCAGTCCCGTACTCGCGCGTGCAAATATTCGCGCACGTGCAAGAGGCCGTTGTGTGTAATTAAGGGCAAGCTTCTATTATGAAAACGAGCCGTGGACCACGAGGACACGCATACTATAAATAATAATTTAGTTATTGGTTCAGGATCCGCTTGAAACAGCTGCAGATTCGTCCAACGGCTCAACAGGTCCGCCAGCGCATGTTACAGCACAGGTAGTGGTCAATACCACTCACTCGGGCCAGCACGCGCTGGTGGATTCCGACGCCGCTTCCACGTCGGCCGGCACCATCGTCAGCGGTTCCCCGCACTACATTACAGTCACAGGTAACGGCCAAGCGTAAAATTGCCTATTTCTGATACTCAAGTGAGAATTGATCCTCGCTCGATCTTACTGCAATGCGCCCAAGTCTAATTGCGAATCGGCAAACGGTTTCACGCTAAACTGTAGAGCTCGGAGATTAATGCCGAGGCTCAATTGCGAATGAGTTTACTATTTGCGGTGAGTAGGCGAGGATCAGTTTGAAAAGTTATAGTGTTTGAGTAGAGATTTGGCCCTTTCCATGCTGCTGAAAAACATGCACCCCTGTACTTCCACTCTGACCGCACTAGGCACCAGTGACTCGTCATCCTACGCGTCCCTCACAGCGGCTGTAGGTGAGGGCAGAATATAAACAGCATGCCTCTTGTATGTCCCGTTTATTCTGCGCATTTTAATTTCGTACGAGTTGCGAGATCAATGAGCGGATTCTTGTACACTGACATTTAAACATTATTCAGTTTATTTCATCCGTATTTATCGCCACTCCGCATTGTTGTCGACAAGCGAATGCGACTGTACTTAAAGAGCTCTGTGTACCGCGGTGCAAACGACCCAAATCAGGCACGCTCAGCCACGTCACTTTTTTGTTTCAGTGTCCGGCGACGCAGAGGCGGTGGGGTCCGAGTCGGTCTCTCATCCAACTTACGTTCAATATGTCGAGGGGGATGGTTCCACGTATATACCGACGAATGGGCAGATGTAGGTATTGCAGCCTCGCGCTTGTCGATTATTCACAGGCTACGCTCTGTAACAATCATTGTAATCCTCTGCGCAGGACATATCCCGTTTATGCCGTCGGCGAGACAGGAGCGATGTATACTCCAGCCTCGGGCCAGTACTACACTCCAGCGACGACGCCAGTAACGTATGCGCAGGTAATTGCACGCCCAAGTACTCGGTGTGCGAATAATCGTCGCGCTAAAACTACGGCGATACTAACGACACGTGTCATCGTTGCGTCACAGGTGACAGGCCAGGGCACGAATTCGACCACCGGACAACTGCTATCGCAGGGCAACGGCACGTACTTGATTCAGCAGAGCGTGGTGGATGGAGACCCGACTCACGCGCTCATATCCGCGGCTGCCGCGCGCGCCAGCCCGCAAACGGAGACTGCGGTAAATTGCATGTCCTATGACTTTCTCAGGCTGCTCTTCCATCTTTTAGACGCTGGAATAAATTAGTCACGATTACATTGAATGATTAACGTACACATTTGTGATGATACGACGTGTATATTTATGCCTTACCGCTGCAGGCATGGGGATCTGTGCGCTGCATGATTATATGGGCCGTCTAAAAAATTGTTCTTATAAAATCTTGTTACGACGATTGTAACGGAGATACATAATCGTTTATAGCATCCAGAGTTTGCAAGAATGTATGCTATAAACGGGGGTGTTCAGTAAATTGTAGTGCAACCAGTGAGGAGGTACTTTCTCTCAAAGAGCAAAAAAATAATTTATATCAATTAATTGCGTAGTTTTCTCGACACTTTGTATATAAATGAATGCTCTAATATTCGTTGTAGTCTTTGAAATAACTTTTGATACGGAGTCCAGTATAAAGTTCGCAAACAAAATTGCGGATGTTAGGAGAAATATCCTTGTCCGTTTCTTAATTCGGGGGGTTAACGAGGCATCGGTATGTTGGGTTGTTTGATAGGAGGCTGTGGTTAGCGGTGGTGGCGGGGCGTACTTGATCAGCGGTAATTCTGGAGGTACCACTGTCACCGTGGAAGAGACAGCGGCAAACGTGACGCATGCCACTAGAGTCTCCCAGGCCACCGTAAGCCAAAACAAAAAGATGAAACTGATTCCCCACTTTTTGTAGCTTGTTTGGCATACTAATCGGTGTATTTTTTTTTTAATTTCTCGGCATGTCTGTTATTAATTAAATTGCTTTGGTACTGCTTAATATAGTGCATAGTCTAATTTCTCAAAGTCCTCTTTCGTGGAAACTCTAGCGAGAGAAACGACAGATGATTATGTAATTGATCTGTAAAAGAAGTTCCATATAATTTGTTTTATTTGCCGATAAATTTATTTCGGAAGCAAGTTTAATTTTAACGAGATACTTTTTTCTCGTAGCATTGTATGGTTACTTTTATCTAAAATCTTTAGTAAATTATATGTTTTTATTTTGTACTTATACATTGTTTTAAATGAAAAATTATATTTACGAGGAACAGGAATATTAATTTCTCGTGCACTGATTTAAACAGGTACACTGGCTGGTAGAGAATTACGAAAACGCTGACGGCGTGTCCCTTCCAAGATCAACCCTTTACGCTCATTACCTGCGCCATTGCTCCGAAAACAAATTGGATCCTGTGAACGCAGCCAGTTTCGGGAAGTTGATACGCTCTGTATTCTTGGGATTGAGAACTAGGCGTTTAGGGACTAGGTAAGAGGAGGAGCTTTATAATGACGAAATTTATTACCTGATAGTGTTTATTAGATTAATAACTCTTATTGATTTTTCTTATTGCAGGGGAAACTCGAAATATCATTATTACGGAATTCGTGTGAAGCCAAGCTCACCTCTGTGCGTACTGAACGAGGATGGCACGTCGAGACAACAGCAAAGCGCGAACTCTCAGACGAAGCGATTCAAATTTGTCAATCAAAAGCAGGAGTCGTCTTACGAGAATAACGCGCACGCGAACACAAATATCTCCACCAATTCTTCACCGCCACAGTATCACCAGTACCTCGGCGAAGCGAGCGGCGCCATTCCCGATTTCCCGGAGATCTTCATCAGTCACGATTCGTCCCTGCCTGAGGATTGCACTCTTGAAGATATCGATACGTTTCGCAGCATATACAGAGAACATTGCGAAGCATTCTTGGACGCGGTGCTGAATTTCGAGTTTACCACGGTGGAGAGCCTCTGGAGAGAATTCTGGCGCAGCCAGGACAATAATAATGGTGATGAGTGCGAAGAAGAGAAGTATTTGTCAAAGTACGACACATATTTATTAGAAAAATTTGCATCACAAGTAGAAGAATTGCGTTAGGTGTAAATTAAGTTGTATCTATTTTTTGCATAAAAAATTAACCGTAATTATTCTTGTAATTGTTTACTTTTAAATCGTTACACAAATGTCGCTTTTGTATAATTTATTTATATTTTATTTTTGTAGCTCTTGATGTGCGCGATGAATATCTTTTACCTCTACGTTTCAGAACCAAGCTATATCAGATGTGTCAATGTACGGGGGTACAAGACTTTATCAAAAAGGTGGACTATACATTCTATCAGAATCTAGTCGATGTTTTAATGCCTAATGTATTGCGACCGATACCAAGTACGTTGTTACAAAATTCGTTATTGCTATTCTACCTTCAATCTTTATATATTAAATGCTTCTTTTTGCCCCAAGGTTCGTTGACACAATCTATTCGAAATTTTGCAAAGGGATTGGAATCTTGGTTGCAGTCAGCAATGGCCGATTGTCCTGAAGAAATGACGCAAATTAAGGTACTGTCTTATTTAAATCTATCGTTGAAACAAGAATCGCAGATATCGAAAGATACACTTGAAAACATTACGCGCGAGTCTTGCAGTATAATTATTGTTGGTTACAGTTAACCGCAGTGTCAGCTTTTGCTCAAACTTTAAGGCGCTATACATCGTTAAATCACCTTGCACAGGCCGCGCGAGCGGTGCTTCAAAATTCTAGTCAAATTAATCAAATGTTAGCCGACTTGAATCGCGTTGACTTCCACAACGTACAAGAACAAGTAAGTTGACTTCCTTGAAATATTTCCAGAGAGTCCTCTTTCTACTATCTAATACACGCGCGATATATGTTCACAAAGACGCGGCATACATATGCGACTGCCTTTTCAGGCATCCTGGGTATGCCAATGTGATTACGGAATGGTACAACGTCTCGAGGCGGATTTTAAGGTAACGTTGCAGCAGCAAAATTCATTGGAGGATTGGGCGATCTGGTTGAAAGGAGTGGTGACTCAGGCGCTTAAGCCACACGAGGAGAAGCCAACATTCGCTAAGGCTGCACGTCAGTTCCTGCTCAAGTGGTCGTTTTACAGGTACATTCTGCTCTCCGTGTCGCGTTAACAAACGTTATCTCAATTAAACCTACATATTACGTCTTTCGTAGCTCGATGGTCATCCGGGATCTCACCTTGAGGAGTGCTGCGAGTTTCGGGTCTTTTCATCTTATCAGATTACTTTATGACGAGTACATGTTTTATTTAATAGAGCATCAAGTCGCTATCGCAACTGGAACTACGCCAATAGCTGTAATGGGAGACGTTAGTATACTTAAACGTTGAGTTAGTTGATTCTGAGTTGATTTTTTAATTGATTATCTTAATTTAACTGGTTGGAGGAAAACCTTGTCCATAATATACTTCTTAAAAGGCAATTATAAATTCGCAGATCAATTCTATTCATGCTACGAGATATTAAATAATTGTTTCTATTTCAGAAAAGTCAAAATTGCTCTTTAATTAGTAGTTTTGGGGCAACGTCCAATGGAGGTGAGGTGACTTTACTTGATTATTCTTATTATACAATGTTACCTTTTTCAACTGTTATGTAAATTGGTTCAATGTAAGTCACGCAATTGAATTTCAGATGCGTCTAATGCGAGCCAACCAAAACGTATGAAGCTAAGCTAACTGTGTGCCTACGCTCTTTAGTTTATGAGTAAACCGGTAGCACACAAAAATGTGAAGATACTAGCACGAAAGCATACAGGCCTACAAGAGAAAAAACATACTAGTCTCGTAAATTATTATTTTATATAACATCAAATTACAATTATGACATATAAGAAGAGGATTTTTGCATAACGCCTACGATGTATACAATTCAAGTACGTCTGTGTGATATAAGATATAGAGAAGTATTGTACTATGCGAAGCCTTGTCTCATACACAGGTATGGCACAGGTTTAAAGTATCGCTGGCACGATTTTAGTACGTTAGTATATATCGAATCTAGTCGAAACATCTTTGGAAGGAAATAAGCGTATACGGGACCATGAACTTGTCATGCCCTCACTAGAACATGTATGAAAGGCCCACTCGATTGTGTTTTCTGCATTTATTGCAAGAATAATTTTTTTACAAATGTAGACAAGAATAACATTAATTATGTATTATCAATACGTGTTAAGATAAATTTATATTTAGAGCTTATCAATTTCAAATGTCATTCGTTTTATTGATATTTATTAGAATAGAATATAACAATGTTAAAAGTGCGCTACATATACATATCCGTTTTCATTATAGTCACGAAGATATTTAAATTGCTTGACGCTATGTTTGAAGGAAACTATGTTGAGTGGGCTTAAAATAATCATCAGTTTGCGCAAAGGAAAACGCGAAAGAATAAAATTCTACCTTCCGCAAGGTAAAAACCTAACGTTCCGCTCGCGAATTCCAGTTTGCGCAAATTACACGCAAACCAATTACAAAAATCCGCCCTGCCGACGGTAATATGTCAAAAGTATTCCTACGCGGAATATTAGATTGCTGTAACGGTATATAAACTTTTCAAGTTTACACACATACATATATCCGACATTCATATTTTTTAACGTAATTTATTGATTGAACACATCGAGCTCTGTGCCGGAGATTTCGTTTGGGAGCACTCTCTATTGCAGTCGGTTGCTATTCTCTCAGTATAATTAAACGAATAGTACAAAATTTTATTGGAAAGAGAGAAGGGTAGGAAGGGAGACGCGAGTACCGAGGTTGTTTTAATTTACTGATAGAATATACAGTGTGCGTCTTATACGTTGGATGTATATACATATATAAATTGTAGCGGATGAAAATACGCACGATTGTTGAAGTTAAAAAGAGGAAACTGCAAAATATATAATAAGCGCGATACGAGCATCCTTGGCCATTTCAAAAGTCGACCGAGGATGCCTACAGTAAAAATATGTGTCGGTATATGTTTTGTATTCATAGGCACTCCAATAGCGTCTTTTGTATTGTAAAAATATTAGGATGTAAGTCTCCAATATCGCTAGGACTTTCGTACGTTGAGTTTCGTTTGTTTATGTACATTATTTAAGGTGACTTAATACATATTATATTTACGCGGTTGCGCATGTTATGCAACTGTGTTATACGAATTTTTATTTATTTCGAGGTTGAATCGGTCTTACGCTTCAAACGACGCGTATTTATAATGAATCGTTCTATATATATCCGTGACAAGTTACTTGAACATCGAAGACGGTTTTAATCAAAAAAGAAAAAAAGAATCGACAGATTAGCTAATTTATTACATGCAACGCTAGACAGTAGTAATTCGCCACGTCCGTTTTTTCCACAATAATTTTCATATTTTAAATATATGTAACTGTTGATTTATTGTATATCTTACGTAAATTATACGTCTAGCGAGAAGTCTACGGGCAAAAGGGATCTGTTGATGTTTATGTATGTCGGAAATATTCCTTACATACAACGCATACATATATACAATATACGTATGTATATATAGATGCGTGCAAACGCGCAGCGTTTCAACGAAACCAAAGTGCACCATTGCATAGCTTAACTCGTTTCTTTCGCGTGGCAAGACGCGTCGACGAATCCTGTGTTTTCGTATATTACTTTCCAAATTCGCTAAGAGACACACGAGACCGCAAATCGAGGTTTTTAATATTCTCTTCGTAGCGTCTGTTGTAACGACTTAACAAAATACTGCGCGCACGTTGCCTCCGAACGTGAAATCAATGCTCTCTTAATTAGCATCACGCTTTCCATCACAAAGTATTAAACGTATGCAAGTCTTTTGCGACTTATTATTTTTACATTCGAGTTACAGTCTGACGTATGAAGCAGCGTGTACACACGATGAAGATAATAACACTCGAAGAATGACTTGGCAGAATTACTGATTTAGAATGAGTATCATTTTGCGCGCGATGATAAAGTGAATCGATTTCGATGTAACGTATTTAATTAAATCGGGCTTTGTTGAACTCTCGATGAGGTTGCACGATATCCGGAAAACATTGCAAGGCGAGAAGTGAACTGAAGAAAAGGAAACTCGGTGCCTTTTATTTTATAAAGAAACGAAAGGACATAAGTATCTTTTCACACTGCATTCTAATAGCGAACGACGAGCGTAAAAATACCTTACCCAGTAGCGTTAAAAAATGAAGACACCTGTTAATTAATTGATCCATCGCATCCCGCCTTCTACTCGTTTGTAAAGAAGACGTGCTTTACGATCGATGTCCCCCGACTGCGAAACGTGAGTCGGCCGTTTATCAGATATATGCTTAAAATTACGCCACTCATTCGCGTTACAGACTACTCGGCCGTTGATAGGCCGATTTCTTTCCGGACACGCACGGTCTTCGCCACTTACGTCCGTTTCCTTGGCGTATCCGAGTAATTTCGTTCCTCATTTGCGCGCGAGGGTACGAGCGCAGGGAGTCATTTCCGCTTTCTCGTCGCATCCCCGACTGAAACTCTTGCGTCCACGTTTCCCCGCGAACGTTTCCTCTTCCAAGCTGCGCAAACGTTTTGCCCGGCCGCGACGGCCGGGCACGAGAAGGGTACTAAAGAAAAAAAGGAAATAAATGAGAAACTGGTTTTTATGATTTGTGGCGCAAATCGCGGAGCAGCGTCGCCGCTGATAAAGATAGACATAGAATACGTGCGTTTATAATTTATTATCGCGTAGGGTTATCGCGTGCTAGTCAAAGAGAAACTTGGTAGCGTGTCTAAGTGAGATTGGGGACGTGAATGAAAGAGAGAAAGAGGATGAGAGCACATCGCGCAGTACATCGAGCTGGATCTAGGACGTTTCCGTAACTGTAATGAGCTTATACGTGTAAAGATATAGAGAATGAAACTTATCGTCGATACCTATGTGTACCTAGGATGTAAGGATGCGACTTTACGGGGCGATTCGCGGCGATTTCTCCCGCCGGTCAACGAAGGAAAGGTCCGAGTGCGGGGACGACCCGGCCGCTGCGTGGGAAAGAACGAGAGGAGGAAGAGGAAGTGGAATCCTTGCCCCTCTCTAAGAGGGAGGGAGATTCGCTTCCTCCGGAAGAGGAGATCGGCGTCTCTCCGCAGCCGCCGGGCCGTCGTGTCCGCTTTTAAGTTAAGGGGATCGCTCTAATCGTAAGTTCTACTACCCCGATAAACGGGGGGGGGGATGGAGGGGGTGAACGGTAGTCCGTAACTGTACTGTACGCAAGATCAAACACACAATCGTGGTTTCCTATGTTTGCGAGATAAGTGAACACACGGCCTTAAATATATTTCCGACTGTACGATGGAGGAGAGGGGAAAAAATAGGAGGACTAGGGGGGTGGGAGGGGGAATGAGTGGTAGGATTTTAGGGGTGGCCCGAGAGAGGGAGATCGAGAGAAGAAATTGCGACGCATTTTTCCTTGTGACGTAATAGAAGATATTTTGATACCTCCAGATTTGCACAAATCAAGTGTCATTCGTTACCGCTTGAATAAGATTATTTTTACTGAACGCCGCTCAACAAAAAAAGAGAGAGAGAGAGGGGGGGGGGAGGGGCAGCAGCGAACTTAGGGTGTAAATCGAGACGCGAGAATCTTCGAAAGTCTGTGTGAATGTGCGGATCACGAGAAATGAATAATAAATCTATGTTTAAAACTTGTAATCGCACGATCTCGAACCTGGTCTCTCACGTCCCACGTGACCCTCCGCGAAATTTCGATTTTCGCGCGGGGGCTCGCGCGTTATCTCTCAATCCTGCGGCCACGCTCGTGCGATCCGCACGGCGTACACGTTTCTGTGTTTTATTGTTTAATTTATCTATTCTCTACGCACGCTTCCTGCGCTCTAAACTTGGGACAATTCGGCGACGTAGTCTCACGCGTCTGGGCGAGGAAAGAAGCGCACCGAATTATCTTATCGCGCCGTTCGAGTATTGCAACAACCTCCGTTGACGACGACACGCATCTTTTTATACGTTTCTGCCTCGCGCGAGGAGCTCACGACACCGTTAATGCCGCTTGTTCGCGCCGATGATTAACAAACAATTGTTTGTCGAGTTAACGAAGCGAGTTATGCCTCTGACACAACGCGTCGTACATTGGAAATTACAAATGCGTATACTATTGCGTTAAGATTACCATTCATTATCGCCGGGGATTACAATCGCGCCCGTTTACGTAACGTGATATTACAATATTACGTGTCGCTTACCAATAACCCGACCGTTCGGCTTAATCGGCGATAGTTTTTTTTAATCGGCGTTTTCGGCCCAACTCCGATTAGTTTAGTTGCCGGTTAGTTCGATCGATAAATTAAATTGGAGCGAAATTTCTAATTGCGTAATTTGTCGCACGTTGAGCCGATCTTTTTGTTTACGTTGCAGAACAGCAAGTTTTAAGACTAACGTCTAGTGATATACATAGATATTATTTGATACATTGATCCTCAATCGGGGATCAATTTAGGCGACGGAATCGCCTAAAGCAAAATTACTACTTACACAATTCGTTGCCCCTAATCTTTTTTTTTAAATACATTGAACAAGAAAAAATGATGTGCGCAGTTAGATGATATGAACATTATTTGGTAAATTAAATCTCAACATAGATTTGTTTGACAAGTTACTCAATCGGCGGTCAATTAAATCGATAAAATCGCTGAAAGCAAAATTTCTAATTATATAATTTCGCTGTCTCTAATCTCATTACATTAACATCGTGTGTCAAACGGCGAAAAGATCTAATTCCATCGTTACGTCAGCGCGGATATCGAGCGAGTAATATTTATTTCTACCAATGCAGACCAGCTTTAATCTCGGACTAACTTGCCATTCGTCTTTTTCCAATTTTTAGAACTAGGCCAAGATAAAGAGCAAGTTGTGTAAACCGAGATTAAAGTTAATCCTACAGCAAATAGATGTTAATCGCTGATCCAGTTAATTGGAGTTTCGCCGAAGTTAGCGTTTTATGTACCGTCAATCGCGTGTCTCTGGCGATTCCTCGTTTCCTCACGACGTTCCTCTCTCCTTCTCTGCACATGGCGAAAGAAAAACAGAGATTGACTCAACTGCTGCGTGATTTAATCCACGCTGTCATTTATTCCGTAAATACACGTTTACTCGTAGCGTCATCCTCCGCGTTTCATATCTCGCGTCGGTTCCCCCACGCGACGTTCGCCAAGTTGTCTTTTGTATCTTCTCCTCCCCCGATATTGAAGCCTAATCTACAATGCGCTCTTTGCGTCGAGAAACATTCTATTTTATATCAGCAAATCAAAACGCCTGAAAACTTTGTCGACAACGCACGACCGCACGACGTATATCAACTTGCACAAATTCTTTAAACGTATTTATCGGCTACAAAATAGAATGTTTCCAGGCGCAAAGAGCACAGATTGGGCTTCAATTGTACATCCGAGATGCGGAGAATTCAGTACAAAGCACGACGACAAAATACCAGTCTCGCGTATAACATATTCATTTATACACGGATAAAAGAAATATGTTGTGTCAACAAGATCAGCGTAACTGAAAAAAAATCGTTGAACCGACGTCGGTATTAATAAATGAAAAACATCAGATTGTCTTAATTGCCGGAAGTTAAAAAACAATTCCATTTGCAGATATGCAAATGATGTGCGTCCACATTATTTAAACATTATAGTAACAAGAGACGCATACGCGACTTCATTAACGTTCTACACTTGGACGCGGCCAAGTATTCAGGCGGGGGGAAAAGGAAAGAACGGAGCACAAAGTAACGGGCGAGCGTAGAAATCGCGGAAGGTGAAAAAGCGAGAATTTTCGTTTTCTTGTTATTCGCGCTCTTGCAATCTCCCGCTGTTCCCCGCCCTCCTCGAACCCCCCACCCTCGATCGCACGCTCCGTAGACGTGCGTGCGCTTCGCGTCTCATTGAGCTGTCGAAAGCGGAAACCAAAATCGAGTCGTTTAAATCACTTGTTTATATTGTTGTCCAAACAATTTGCTTTGAGATGCGCGCGAAATTCCGCCTCTGAAATTACAAAGATAAGAAATACAAGCAGAGCGACCTTGACCAGCGCGGGGCGTGAAAGGGCGAGCGGGGGGAGGGTAGGGCGCGCCACGCGAAGGTCGCCATCTTGCCGCTGACGCGTGCGAAACGTGCATTGGACGGAGCGCATCACGCGACATTCGAAAACGGCGACGCAACATGGCGCGGCCAATCGCGCTCGCCGCTTCCCTCTTGCCGTTCGCGGGTTGTCTCGATCGCCGAAATTGCCCGCTGCCCTCCGTCGTTTTCTTTCACCTCTCCGCGGGGAGGAGCAGAAAACGGCGGAACGCGAGGTAGGGAGATGACCGAATGACGCACTCGTCATCGGGAGGGTTTCCGCACTGAAAAAAAATCCGGTAGATTCAACCAGTTAGAAAATGAACGAATCCGAATCCCTTTAGGATTTACCAGATGTGTAGTGAAGTCTAGCAAACTTCTGGTTTTGAAATATCGAGCCCTATCGTGCTGACTGGAAAATCTGTTTGGTTTAGCCAAAATACACTGTATCGTACATGTCTTGTTGATACAATCAAAGCATTTCTCTCAGTGCGCGGTTTCTTTTCGGGGATCGGATTTAAAAAATGCAACGAGCGTTTCAGGGCGGTCTTTCGAAGATACAACTTTCCAGCGAACACCAAAGTAACAGAGTGCATAAAGGCCATTCTACAATTGCGTAAATGTAGTTGTAGGGGTTGTAGGAGTAGAAGTAGTAGTAAGTGTTGTACATCAAAGTAATGTACAATAGAGATACGTCGTAATTGAAATGAATGATTAGTTAGCTTTTACGTTCTACATCGTTGTAGTCGTGAAAGATCAAGTTCAGCCATCTTTAACAACAGGCTTTACAATCGGAAATGCTAGTTTAAAACTGTGTTTTACAACACTGTACAACCGCTAATAACCACGTTTACGCAATTGTAGAATAGCCTTAAGGCCCGGTCTACAATGAGTTGTTAGTCGTTAGTCAGAAGTCGGAACTATATGTCGGTCCTTTTTCTTCCACCCAGAAAGGAAAAGGATCAACATATAGTTGCGACTTCTGACTAACGACTAACGACTCATTGTAGACCGGGCCTAAAGGACCGTCTACGTCGGAAGTAAGCAGTAAGAAGTGAGAAAACCGTAGCCTTTACTTATCGGTGTACGAGCTAAAGTGCTGGCATAATTTTTAAAACTATTTATAGCACTGGCTAAACTGCGCTCCAATTCGCCAGTAGGAGTGAGAAATGGAAATGATTCATTGCTTTACTCCTACTCTTAAGCCAACGGCACACGATACTACTTTTCCTACTGGATTGCTTACGAGAGCCAATCAGGATTTAGCTTTAAGTCACCTGATCTAAAGCCAACGGCACACGATACTATTTTTCCTACTGGATTCCTTACGAGAGCCAATCAGGATTCAGCTTTGAGTCACCTGATCGAAAACTCTGCGTCCTGATTGGCTCTCGTAAGCAATCCAGTAGGAAAAATAGTATCGTGTGCCGTTGGCTTAAAACTCTGAATCCTTATTGGATCTCGTAAGCAATCCAGTAAGAAAAATAGTATCGTGCCGTTGGCTTTACTTCTTACGCCAGGCTTACCTCGTCTATTGTAGACGATTTTTAACGTCGATGTAAATTTAATTTAATGTAACGCACGTGTTGTATTACATTTACATTGATGTTATGTAACTATAAAGGCTACGATACATGGAGTAAGCCGAGCGTAAGAAGTAAGAGGGTAGGGGTAAGAAGGCTACTTCCGTTGTGAAAGAGGTGGCGTAAAGGAGTAAGCGAATTAAATTAATTTTAATTCCTACTCCTACTCTTACTCTTACGCTTGGCCAATCAGAATGCAAGAAAAGCTTTATCACTCTGCTGCCGCTCGGGCCGCGACAGCCGACACTTGTTAATATTATTAATTTATGGAAATCCATTTCACAGTCTTCGCTCGCTGATTTCAAAGGACGATAACTTTCTTCGTCGACAACGTGACACTGTGATTCCTATACGACTACTCCGTTGTGTTCTAATTTGTCTCTAGACGAGACCGATTACACTGATAAAAAAAATTTTTTAACCAAGTGAGTAGATTTACTGGAGTAAATATTTATTCTACTTAAATAAAAATATTCTTCGCTGTAAAACTTATGTCTTGGTAAACACCTTTATAGGATTAAAGTAAAATTTTGTAAATTTAAAATTATCTACCGTTTGATATTTTGTAAATGCTTAAATTAAAGAACATAAGATTCATTTGACACCAGCAAATGAGTCAACATGATTAAGCAAAGCAGTTAATCGACCATGACCGCACATAGCCAGTCATGGTCGATTAACTGCTTTGCTTAATCATGTTAAATTAAAGAAATGCTTGTTTTAATTTGTTTATTAATTTTGAAATTTAATAAGCTATTAGGAGCCACCTAATGAATAATTTTCTTGAGTAAAGTAATATTTTTTGGATTAACATATTTCTTTTATCAGTGTAGGAACCTCACGCCGAGATTGTTGCTCCTACTCTCACTCCTTACGCCCGGTTTACTTCATGTGTCGTAGACGAGCCTTAATAACTACTTATTAGCCGATTTGACATCGTTTCAACACCGATCGGCGAGTCATTTCTCCTTGAATTATAATACAATGTTGGAAATATTAGATTTATATTTCCCAATATCGCGCCAGTATATTGTGCTCCTAGCACCGAGAGAGAGAGAGAGGGAGAGAGAGAGAGAGAGAGAGAGAGAGAGATAGAGAGAGAGAGAGAGAGAGAGAGAGAGAGAGAACTTGAAGGGAAATGCTCCCACGATAATTAGACGGCGACACTTAAAGGGAAATCGCGATAAAATATTATGTACTGTCCGGATCGAGAATGAGATTGACATTCGAAATATTCTATGCGATATTGCGCTGCGAAATTGCTTGATTTTAATATCAACATATAACTTACAAAATTTGCGCGCGTATGCGTACACGCATATATTATTTTGAAATTCACGCGTCCCCTCCCTCCCCGTGTTTTTCCCCCCGATTTCTCTAGTCACATTTGCATATAAATGCAGCCTTCTGCCTTCTGGCTCGATCAGGGAGTCAAGCCTAATCTGCAATGTGCTCTCCGCGTCTAGAAACATTCTATTTTGTAGCCAATGAGTACGTTTAAAAAGTGTGTACGAGGTGATAAATTGTGTATTGTACATCCCAGCGGGAAATGGGTCATCGATCAATGTCCAAACGATGTCGAATCGACACCGTCACACTGACATCGATCGACGCTACAATTCTCACTGATGGGATTGTATAATCGTACGCTGACAAAAAAGTTTTTTAAACTAAGCAAACAGATTTGAACCCCGTTGAACCAAACAACTTTTGTTTGAAACGTTTCTCCGTATCTTTCACAGTTTTGGAGATATTTGCGTGGATCATTTGAAATGAGACACCCTGTATATTTTATTTTACCCCAACAATGCCTGATACCCAAACTAATGCCCAAAGAATGCTTAGTAATGCCGCAAATCTGCACACACCACAATGCCCTCAGCGGTTTCCCCGCTCGATAAATACCTAAATTAAAGAAATGCGTGTTTCAATTTGTCTATTACTTTTAAATTCAAGCTAATAAGCTGTTAGGCGCCACCTAATGAATAATTTTCTTGAGCAAAGTAACCTTATGGTTAGCATATATTTTTCTTATCGGCGCCCATTGTTGGCAAAAGTGTTTCAAGCGTTTCGAATTTGTTCCTATAAAACAGAATGCTCCTAGACGCAGGAGGCCACACATTGTACATTAGACTTGAATCTCACGGCGGTCGATTTAATCATCTCGTGCCGGAGGAGGAAAATAAAGAAACGCGCGCGAAGCGTCGTCGCGCGTGAAAGCGAGCGCGGAGCGCGAAGGAGCAGTTTCTCGCGCGTCTGAATTTTTCGCGAGACGACGCGGCGGGAAGGCCGCCGCGCAGATTCCTCCGTATAAAATTTCCCCTCGGCCGCACTTCTCGGCGCGAGCCGACGCTGCGATCTCGAGCCGGAGTGACTCTCGGAGGCGCAGCACTTTGTATCTTGCACTCTCGCGCGCTCGCCGCCGGCGTCGGACGGCGAGGGCGAGGGGGGGGGGGGAGAGGAGAAGGAGAGAGAACGCACTCGCGCCTGACAGCGCCGGGACGGGAGGGGAGGGCCGGGAGTGCGCGCGTTTCCATCCCCGCTGTCACGCGCGGCGCGCGGCGCGCGGCTCGCCTAGATGTTCCGCTCCGGCGTGCCGCGGGTATTATCGCAGAATTCGCAGAAAGTCCGCGCGGCAGAGTGCCGCGTTGACTCGCGTGCGCGCCGGGCCTCTCTCTTTCGCTCGCTCGCTCCTCCTCCTCCTCTCCGCCGCGTCTCCCACCCGACGTCGTCGCCCACCACTATCTCGGGTCTCGACGCGGCTCGGCCGACTCATCCGACCGCCCGTGTCCTAGGGCTGCACGCTCCAAAGGCCAGGCGCGATAGTCGAACCGTCGCGCCAGGACGGTGCAGCTCGCGATAACGCTACGGTACGCGCGAGAGCCCGAGCACCGAGATGGCACCGGCCATCAGCAAATTCGCTACCAGACGCACGCTGGCCGGCGCGGCCGCGCTCGGCACGCTCGTCTGGATACTCAGGAGCCGCAGCAGGAGGCGGACGCAGAAGATCAGGTGAGTGTCGAGCCTCGCGCAAGCGACTGTCTCGCGGACTGTCTCTGAACAACGACGTGCTTGCAGGGACCAGTGGCCCACCGGCAACGACATTCAGTATGTCATCAAGGAGGTAAGAATCGCGGGCGTCCTTCCGCACGCGAGGGCAGGTCGAGACTCGATACTGACTGTACGCGTGTGTGTTTTGTGCAGGAGAAGCCCAAGAGCCCCAAGGCGCAGGTCAACGCCGTCTTCTTCCGCAGGCTCTGTCAGCTGCTCAGGATCGGCATCCCCGGCGTCTTCTCGCCGGAGTTCGGCTTCGTGCTCCTGGTGGCGAGCGCCCTGGTCGGCAGGACCCTGTGCGACTTGTGGCTGATCAAGAAGGGCACCCTGATAGAAACGTATGTGCAGCGCGTTCCTCCTTAATTGCGTTAAAAAGCTCTGCTCCTGACGTAGAACCTTGTCATGCCACCAGGTCAATTGTCAGCATGAACGGGCCATTGTTCAGGCGACATCTGATGACTCTATTCGCCGTGGGGCCGATGGTGAGTCGAGGAATATTCCACTATTTTAGTGCTCGACCTGACGGCCTGACGACCTGCGCTTCCCTGCTTAAAATGTTGGACGGAAGACGATCAGATTGCATTAGAATACACGCAATTGTGTATAAATGAATGAGATTCCAACAGCGAATACTAGTGCGCACTGAGCGCATACCAAGGCTTGTTCCAGAGTCCACTCTTGCATTTATGGTCATCTCAAGTGCGTGTTGAAAAACTACTTGGTACGAATCCTACACGGATCATTTTATTGGCCAAGAAGCGTTTCAAAAAGTATTCAAGACGGTCCCTAAATACAGGAAACAAGTCTTGGTTCGCACTAGTTCAAGCTGCCGAATTCGCTATTATTAATTTGCATAGAAATTGTCACGTCTAATGTTGTCTGGTCGTATTCTATTATTTTAAACGGGGTTACGCGTGTGATAATGAAAATTCCACCACGTAACTTTGGCTTAGCCGTTGAAAAGTATCTGATAGTACATTAATGCTCCGTGTGATTGTACTTATTTAGATTGCGATCGTGAATAATATACTGAAGTACGGCATAAGCGAAATGAAGTTGAGGTTGCGTACAAATATCACGCGTTATTTGCTGGATCATTATCTTAAGTAAGTAACTGCACACACACACATATATACATAATTATATAAGCAATGCATATTTATTACAGCATGTATATGCATGACAAAGGACATGCATATACATATTGTTGTACATACGAGGGTCATTCGAAAAGTTCTTAGGATGAAATAGAACGACGGCCTCCTCTTTGTCTTTTTGCAATTACTTTTCTTTTACGATCTCCCTTTATGTCGGTGCGCTCGAGCCACCTGCGCTCCGTCGTTCTATTACCACACTCCGATTTGTCAAGGTGCAAAATGAAAATTGAAAGTCCCTTCCCCAAGGAGTTTCTTCAACCGCGGGAATAAGTGGAGGTTCGACAGAGCCAGGAGTCAAGCGAATAAGAAAAATTCGCCAAACCGCACTTTCTTCCGTGGCAACTCAATCGTTTCGAGTTCATACATTTTTCACAAATTGCATTATATCAGAATTAATGCGTACATTACCGATGCGGGTAGATTTATATTTTATGTGTAACTTTGCAAGATACTCGCTCTGCCGCTAGTGGCGGCAGTATTTCCGTTTAAATAATTTACGACTCAAATAAGTTGGCGATTGAAATGAGGTTTATTTACATTTAAGAAATACACGATAAGAATTGTGACTCAAGAACATGGTGAATATTTAAGAGGCACTTCTTCCGCAGGGGCTTTACCTATTACAAAATGAGTAATCTGGACACTCGAATCGCGAATCCGGATCAGCTGTTGACCACAGACGTCGACAGATTCTGCGAAAGCTGCACGGACCTTTACAGCAACATAGCGAAGCCTCTGCTGGACATCGGTATTTACGTATATAAATTAACAACCAGTCTCGGTGGACAGGTAATGAAACATTTAGTTTATTTAACAGTAATTGAGCATTATCGCTTCTGAATAAGTATTTTAAGCTGATAAACATCAAGTTGCTAAAAATAATGTCATCTATTTTTAGACACCGATCCTAATGCTCTCATACCTGGTGCTAGCTGGTACCTTTTTGACCCACCTTCGCAAGCCCATCGGAACGATGACAGTGAAGGAGCAACGACTGGAAGGAGAGTATCGTCACATCAATTCAAGATTGATCGTCAACTCGGAGGAGATAGCCTTTTATGGAGGAAACAACAGGGAGAAACTGACGGTGTTGACCAGCTTCCACAAACTCGTGAGTGTTTCCGAGTGTTATTTATGTGTCGATTATGTCACTTGTACTTTTATGGCTTTTTTTCCCCCCGTTGTAGGTGACGCATCTGCGCAAATTCTTGGAATTTAAGATCCTGATAGGCGTCATAGACAATTACGTTGCCAAATGTAAGATTACGGAGTGGCCGATAACTCGTGTCAACAACACGCTTTATCTAGTTCACGCTTGTACTTTCTAATGCTGATCGCCATTGTCCCCTTCTAGATTTCGCGACCGTGATCGGCTTCTACGCGGTGAGCATACCCTTCTTCCAGACGAACCACGCCGTGCTGTCCGGCACGCCCGACCACAGATTCAAATCGTACTACACGTACGGCCGGATGCTGGTGAAGCTGGCGGAGGCGATCGGCCGATTGGTGCTAGCCGGCAGGGAAATGACGCGCCTGGCGGGATTCACGGCGCGGGTCACCGAGATCAAGAAGGTCCTCGACGACCTGAACGCCGGGAAATACCAGCGAACGATGATCTCGGATTACAAGGAGACCGCGATCGGCTGTCCCGGTAACGGCAGGATCGTGCCGCGCGACAATATCATACGGTTCGACCACGTTCCTCTGGTGACGCCGAACGGAGACGTGCTCGTCAAGGAATTGTCCTTCGAGGTGAAGTCGGGGATAAACGTTCTGGTTTGCGGACCAAACGGTTGCGGCAAGAGTTCAATGTTCAGGATCCTCGGCGAAGTACGTGTTCTTATCTACACCGTTCTCGCTTATCGTTTCATAATGTTTTTGTTGACTCGGTCACTGGAGATAAATTCGTAATCTGCCCGGGACTCTCTAACCGCTTATCGAAATATTGAGTTCCGATGTATAAAGGACGTTAAGTTTAAAACTTGCACTTGCCAGCAGCACGAATAGTGGTGTCGGTGATTCTCACGGGTCTACATCTGATTACGCGAATCGTAATGTTTAGTTGTGGCCGATCTGGTCCGGGACCATCACGAAACCACCGCGCGGTAAGCTCTTTTACATACCGCAACGTCCTTACATGACGCTGGGTACGTTGAGAGACCAGATCATATATCCCCACACGAAGGAGGAGATGAAGAGGCGCGGTAACGCTAACGACGATGATCTCAAGAAGTTCCTGGATCTGGTGCAATTAACCCATCTGTTGGAAAGGGAAACCAACGGTGAACAGTCAGGTTGGGACGCGGTGGCTGATTGGATGGATGTCCTGTCGGGTGGCGAGAAACAGCGTATAGCGGTGGGTCCCTTTTTCTATTCTTGACTTCTCAGGACCGACGTTTATCGTGTAAAACAATTTAATTTGTTTGTAATTGCATCTTTGTTCAATCTTAGAATTATCCTATCGATACTTTAAACGGTGTAGCCACGTTTTATTATATTCTTTGCTACGCCAGTGCTGTTTCGTGACTAGCACTTTTCAATCGCTTCTATTGTTTGCAAAGATGGCTCGGCTGTTTTATCATAAACCGCAATTCGCGATCTTGGACGAGTGCACGAGTGCGGTCAGCGTCGACGTCGAGGATTCCATGTATAGATACTGCAAAAAGGAGAACATTACGCTGTTCACGGTCTCGCATCGTCGCTCACTTTGGAAGCATCACGAGGTAACGTTATCGATCTGTTTCTTCTTCGTCGATTAATTTTGCGCCAGACTCACTTATACTTACCGTGTGACTGTTGCGTTACTTTATAATTGCTCAGCTTTCCATTTACTGTTTTTAGTACTACTTACACATGGACGGCCGAGGAGGCTACGAGTTCAAGCCGATCGAACAAGACACGATAGAATTCGGATCGTGAATTCTCGTGTCCCTTGCATGCGCGCAAACGCATTCGCGTGCGAGGGACATCTAATTTGGCGTAACTTAACCCTTTTTTTCCATTTTATTCGACAATTATACAATTCCAGCGCGATTCGATAGACGAAATTTTTTCTACGATTCAGCACTTTACAATAGACGAAGTATACATTGTCACGCCTTGGTGAAAATAGAATTGGGAGCGTAAATCGAATGTAAGAGGAGAGTGACAGAAGCGTAAACGAAATTGTAGGAAGCGTAATTTGGAACAGCGAAGCGTAAAAGAAGCGTTCGAAGTTTCTTTTACGCTTCGCTGTTCCAAATTACGCTTCCTACGCATTTCGTTTACGCTTCTGTCACTCTTCCCTTACGTTCGATTTACGCTCCAATTTTTATTTTCGCCAGGGCGACAAAGACCGGTGTTATTGAGTATTAAATATATATAATTCACAGGCTGCCTTTACACAGAGAATGTACATGCATATGTACAGAATGTATGTACTGTACGAACATGCATGTGAGATAAGGACAAACGGGCGTGATATCGCGATTATTTTCGGCGCTACCGCCGATTCTATCGCGCAGGTACGTAGTCAAACCTGCCATGCACAACGATATATTTTTCGATCGATATTTTTATACGGAATAATATATTCTTGGCAATATATTCTCGAATGTACCTCGAGCTTGGGAACGTACGTAGCGTCATCACAAATGGCGTATGATACTTTGAGATCCCCCGAGGTATGACTGTAAATATATATGCAACTTTATAGCGTTTAGAGTTTTCTAATGTAAATTTGATCGACCCAGTGATTGACCTTCTATTTAGCGAATACTTGCCGAAACTAAACAATATAAAGAGAGTGGTATTTATAAGATCGAATTAAAACCGCGAGAGCTTACTAACGGTTGTATTATATCGTGGGAAGTGTATATATATGTGTACATGACAGGATTAACTGTAAAGTACGTTTTGTAAGAATGTAATTATTAATATCGTTATATATGCGCGTCGCATATGTCACTTGGATAGATATATATTTGAGCCGAGAAATTATATAACGAGTTCGCTGAACAATAGGCGGACGCTGTAATGAGCAAAACTTTATTGTAAATCCGGAACAAATTAAAATCTGCAAAGCACGGGAAAGGTGCTTTGAGGAGCTGTGATTGATTCTCTATCTCTCTTTTCCACATATTGCGTCGCGATCGCAGATTTTTTTTCTCCGTTTGAAGTTGATATTATAAATGACGTTACATAATTCCCGTTGACATTTAGGAGAAATTCCTTTTATTCTGCTTTACAAAGGCCTTCGAATGAAATATTTTAATGTATTCTCTTACACAACCTTACAGCTTCGTATTTACCGTAGAGACATTTTCTCTATTGCAACGAATTGTTTGCTGCAATTATTGAGAAAATATATACAGTGGACTCTGCTTTATTAAAGTATACTAACGAGTTTGAAGTCGAATAAAAACCAGAATCAAAATATTTTCTTAGCGCAAATTTCTATGGAGCTAATAGGTGCAAAGATACTTTGTGAAAAATAAAGGAATTTTTCTACTCGCACAAATGTCCAGTAGAGACTTCAATTTTGTCCATAAAAAGTCCAAAGTTTATCCATCAGATTCGTAGTTCATCCATTTACGATCCACAATTCATCCATAAATGTTCATTAATGGACAACTTATGGATGTCCATTGAAGCTACAAACGGATGTACAATGGACGCCCTTCGTACCATGTATATTTGTAAGCTAATCGGGCGTCCGGTTCGCGAGCGGGCGAGCAGGCGAGTTTGAATAAACCGCGCGGCCGGCGCTCGGCCCGCGTCGGCTCGGTTCGCGCCACCTCGGGTGGCGCGGCCGCGCTCGGCCCGGCTCGGGCCGCGTCGCGTCACCTCGGCCGCGCTCGGCCCGGCTCGAGCCGCGTCGCGTCACTTCGACCGCGCATTCGTCCGCGGAACGGGGCACGGCGACCGCGGGGGTCTGGGAATCTGGCAGAGGCTCCGGGAGCTCCGGTTTTCGGCCGCTAGTCGCACAATTCGAGCGCTCGAGGGTGGGTCGTCGTCAGTGCCGTCGTTCGTCGTGCGTACGTGCGTGCGTGCCGTGAATACGTGGAGTGCGCGAGCGCGTGAGGGAGCTAGCGGGGCACGCGAGAGAAAGAGCGAGCGAGCGAGCCAGACAGAGAGAGAGAGAGAAAGAAAGACGGACGGGATCTCGAGGAGGTAGGAGGAACGCCAGGCGGAGAGAAAGGAAGAAAGGATAGGAACGCCGAGTCCGCCGCTCGCGAGGGAGAAAGAGCGAGGTGGGGGGAGGCGAGGACTCGTCGCGTTTGCACGTACAATACGCAGTGTGTGTCACGCAGCGTGCCTTCGGGATACAGGAGTGGGGAACAGTGGGGGGGCGGAGGAGGAACGAAGCGCGCGCGGTGACCAGTGTTCTCTCGCGAGGCTTAAGCGCGAGGCTCCCTGCGAAAATACTTGATCGCGCGTCGCGCTATCGATCGTCGCCTCCGTTTTCACCTCCGTCTGCCGACCTCCTCGTGCGGACGCCGCACGAATCCCGCTTTCCTCTCGCGCCTCACGCAACGCCCCTCTCCGTCCCTCCCCGTCCGGCTCCCCCTCCCCCGCAGCCGTCGGTCGCTTGTTGTCCGCCTGCCTCCTCTTCGCCGCGTGCGCGCTCGGCGGCGGCGGCGGCGGCGGCGGCGGGCCGCTCTCCTCGGGGTTGCCGGCTGCCTTCGCTTCGTCCGACGTTCCGCGAGGGCGCGGGAGGGGAGGAAGACGGCGAATCGGCAGCAGCGGCGGGGCGGGACGCGCCGGGAGGAGTACAGGTGCAGGTGCATGCATATAGACGGCGGTAACGACGACGTGCGCGCCGCGAGCACGACGAGGAGCACGTAAGGGAGCGCGAGGGGCACGAAAGTGAAGAAGAAGTCGTCGGCGGGCGAGGAGGAGGAGGAGCGGAAGAAAAAAAGAAGGAGGAAGAGGAGCAGCGGGACGGCAGACGGTGAGACGTACACGCGTAGCGGCGGAGAGCCCGATCTTCGTCCTTGCCTCGCCGCCGTTGTCCTCCGCGCGCGTGCACGGCCGTCGCTCATCCGATCGACGGGGTAGAAGCAGCAGCAGTCCCCTCCCCCGGCACCGTGGCAGGATGGACGACACCGTGGGGCCGCCGCGAACGTCGGACGTAGCGGCGATGGGAAGCGAGAGCGACGACGCCGCCGCCGCCTCCTCCAAGACGCGGGCGATCGACGATGACGACGCGAGTGTCGCTTCCGCCCCCGCCGCCCCTGCCGGCGCCAACGCCGCGGAGTGCCGCGACCGGAGCTCGATAAGGGCCGCGTCCCCGGAGCCGCGCGGCGCCGCCGCCGCCGCCGCTGCAGCTATCGTTACTACCTCCTGCCCGACGACGATGACGACGACGTCGCCGCAGCCGCGGCCGCAGCTGCTGCCGGGGCCGCAGCCGCCGGGGTGTGGCTGCGTGGCCGCGGCCAACGCGGCCGCCGCCGCCGCCGCCGCCGCCACCGCGGTCGACCGGGACGAGATCACCGTGTGCATCACGCCGACCACCGGCGGCCAGTTCGAGCTCGCCGTGGACCGCAACGACACCGTGGAGAATCTCAAGAAGATCATCTCCAAGAAGCTCAAGGTCGCCAAGGAGCGCATCTGCCTGCTGCATCGCGAGAGGTGAGTGCGACTGTTCCTCCGTCTCCTTCCCCTTTTTTCCCCCGCGTGCGCGCGCGCGCGCGCGCCTGCCTGCCTGCCTGCCTGCCTTTCGTCGAGAAATCGGCGCTTCTTCTTTCGAGAGCGCGGACCCACGGCGGGGAAAAGGGGGAGCACTTCCTCGCGACGGGACCGTGGCGGAGCCTGGATTCTCGCCCGCGAGCGCTGTCCGGTCGCGGCGATCCGCTCGTAACGGGGAGCGCACGGAGAAAAACAGATGACTGAGGCTCCGGTAATAATCGTAGCTAACCGAAGCGTGGCGGTGGGTTTTCAGGCTTCGGGCGAGACTGGCCAATCGCGGCCCGAGGGAAGTAATCGACTGGCCATTTTCTTAAATCGTGCGTATTAGAGTCTTCGTGGACGCCGCGCACACGGCTCGGGCCCGTCGCGACCGTGAGGCCGCTCTTTGTTCGTTATCTCGTACAAACGAGACGCCGCCAGCCAGTGGGACCGGGGAGGCAAAACAGTGTAGGTCCCAATGGCTACGACACAGGGTTAAAGGGCCCGCGGCCCTTTCTATCGGTCAACTTGTTGTTATATTGGGTCATTTCGCAAATAACGCGGCGGTGACTCGTTCCTCGGCTCGAGACCGGGAGATTCTCATCGCCGGGAGACCGAAAGTCCAAGATCAGGGAACCTGTTGTGAAAATTAATGGAAAACACGCGTTGAGCCGAGAACGAAGCGCCTATTTCCCCCCCCATTTAGGGCAACGCCGTCGACCGGTTGGTCACTTGGCGGAAGATTAAAGCGTCGAGTTTCTTAATCTCAAAAATAAATCTCCAAGAGACCGCGTTATTCGCGGCGATGATGACCCGGTGACGTCTACGCGACAAGCTCGGGCGAGGAGGAGATAAAAAGAAAAGAGGAGCGGACAAAAGTTCTCGCGTCCGAGAAGGCGCACGAGGAGAAAGTATACACAGCCGAGGAGAATAGATCCGGAGATCTCGATCGCACCTGAGGCTCTAACTGCGCCTTTTTACGCTTCCCGCTCTGAAATCGAGACAATTGCGTACCGACAACAATCACATGCCGGCCGAACGGGAGGCTCGCTCGGAAAAACGGCATAGGAAACGCGGCGCGGAGCGCAGCTGCGCGCCGCGGAAAAAGCACGCGTAAAATCAGCCGGGCGGTAGAGGTAAAAGTTACGCGAGTTGCAACACGCGTGCACGCCCGTCTCGTTGCCTCGCACGCTTTGTCTTCTTCTTCTTTTTTTATAAGACGGATCGACTATCGGACGCAGTTGAAAAACTTGTGTTAAATTTAACAGATATCACATGTCCCAAACGGCCCACACAAGTTTTTGTGTTAATTCAACGTACACTGACAAAAAATTTTTTTAACCAAGTAA